CCAAGTCCTATAATAAAACCAACATGTTCAAAGGCTCTGACAAAATAAAATTGCATTTCTTATTCATGTAACAATACTGGGCAGTAACAGGATATTGGGTAGTTCTCCTTCATGCATTCTGGAGCCCAGGTTGATTGTGGGCAGATCTCAAGTCACCTTGGGGGCCATCTGCATTCCACCCAGACAGAAATAGGAAAGAATATGGAGACATATACATGAGACATGTTTACTTAAAAAAATATTAGAAAATAAAACATGTAAAAAAAATCCAAACCCAATATAACGTATAGTGTATTGAATTAGTATTATACAAATGTTCTTGTAATCCAAGAAATAGAATTCTGCCAACTTCTCTAGAAGCTCACCTCTCTATCACCAAACACAGACACAGCCCCTATGTCCCTCAAAAAGTAAAGTATCCTGGCTTTTAGAATAATCACTTTATTATATTTCTTTGTTTTCTCATCCAAATGCATATCTTTAGATGATACAATTTAACCTGCAATGTGGGTATAATATGTCTCTTAGTCTCTCAGAATCTCTTGTATGCCCTTCCATTCCTTTCTTTGGCTAATGATCCATCTGCCATGGAGCCTAGGTTGTTTGCAAGTTTTCTGATTTGTTTTTATCCGATTGGATATGCAATTCTGTATGCTATTCTGTCCTCTGTATTTTCCGCATATCGCCAAAAGCATCCAGGTTTCAAATTTCATCCCTTTGACAAGACCATATTGGGGATTGTGCCATTTTTGTAGAAGGCATATTCTGATCATCCCATTTTGGGGAAGTTTTCAACCACTAATATCCATTGCCTAGATTTATTATTTCATTGGGGATTGCAAAATCGTGATTTTCTAATTTTATCTTTTTTTTTCACATATTGGAAAGAATAAGTTCATAAACAAATCTTTTCCTCACTATCCAAAATTCCCATGTAGACAGGAAAGGCAGGACATGTTCTTGATGCTTTCAAGATAAATGACATGGATTTTTGTCACTTGTCATCTTCTGAAGGTGACCAATTAATTTTTCTCTCTTTTTCTTCTTTAGTCATTATAAACTCATGAATTAAATCATATTTGGTGAGTTTTAATCCACTGAAAATTTAACCTTTTGTGAAGCTCCTCTTTGGCTTGTGGGAGTCCCTTGGTTGTTTTAACAAGACCCTAGAATTCTGATAGCTCTTTGCTATTTGATATGACAAGCTAGTTCAGGGTTTCTAGTGTATTCCCAGCCTCCGAGTACCTGGAATCAGCCATTTCTCCAGGAAGCTCTGGTTTCTCAGTGTGTAAAATTGTACTTTGAAATATTCATCACTACTAGGCTGGCCACTGTTGGCAGGCTGTTTCATTGGACAAAACTGAGAAAGAGTCTGCAAGTGTTTTCAATTTAAAATCCCATGTATTCAAATGTTGGCAAGATGTGGAGAGAAAGAAAGCCTTCAACACTCTTGGTGGGAATGTAAATTGGTAGAGTCATTATAGAACACAATATGGAGGTTCCTCAAAAAATTAAGAATAGAACTACTATTTAATTCAGCAATCCCACTTCTAGGTATATATCTGGAAGAAATTAAATCAGTATCTTAGATATCTTCACTCCCTGCTTCACTGCAGCATATTCTTTTATATTCTATTCTCTTTCTCCTCCCATTTTTACAGTGTTGTAATGTCTTAATTACATCGTCATAGTGTACAGACATTCCATACTGAACTCTTGAATTTAGCCATTATTTATTCTTAGTTCTTTAAATAAGTATATATCTAATGCTCACTGCCAATTCTTGTGTTGAAATTTTTCTAGTTATTTTGAATCTTAAAATTCATTCTCTAATGCATTCCCTCAGAAAGGCTCATGGGAACAACATCCTCTGGGTTCTTGCATGTTATTATTTTTTTTTCTGTGCCTTATGTCCTTTAAAGGCAGTTTTGCCAGCTATAAAATTCTTAGCTCTCATTTTCTTTCCTTGAGTATCTTAAATACAGTACTCTATTTGCTTTTGACATAAAGCAATTGCTGGACCAAAAAATATGATGTTATTTAATTCTCCTTTATAAAACATAGTCTCTATTCACTAAACTTCATAAGGATTATTCTGCCCCCTCCCCATTTTCTGTAGAATCCAGTAGCTTTATGGGAATATATCTTGGCTGATAGTTATGAGTCATTCTTCTTGAGTACATATGTTATTTCAGAATGTAATATTTTCACTGTGCGTAGTGGCACATGCCTGTAATAGCAGCAACTCGAAAGCTGATGCAGGAGGATCACAAGTTTGAGGTCAGCCTGAACAATTTAGTGAGACCCTTTCTCAAAATAAAAAGGATCCATGGTAAAATATACCTAGGTTCAATTCCCAAGAAAAAAAAAGAATGTAATATTTAAATGTTTTTAAATTTAGAAGATATCATTTTATTTGAGAAATAATTATTTCATATCTTTCAAGTATAATGTAATTTTATAGAAGTGCAATATATTTGAAGTGATTAAATCAAGCTAATTATTATCTCCACTATCTTGCATACTGAGTTTTTCTGTTTCTATGGTGAGAATATTGAAAATCTACTATTTTTGCAGTTTTGTAGTATATGACACATTATTAAAATGTGGTTTTCAATGTATACATGTGCTCAGGAAAGTTTTCATTGGTTGTAATTGTTAGTTTGTTCTGATTTTTTGTTTTTATTTTCTTCTTCAGGGACCCCTGATAGCCATATATTGAATTTTCTTTGCCTGTCTTTAAGACTTGTCAACCTTTCTGTTCTTTGTTTGTTTGTTTTTCATTTCTTTTGGATTTATTTATATTTTCTCCTTTATTTATGTTAAGCCAATTGTGACTGTTTATTTGTTTTTGTTCAATCTTTTTAAAAATGATTATTCATTCATTCATAATTCTTCCTTGAGTTTTAAGACCTATTCTCAGTGTTTCTTTCTGTAGTTTATGTTGTTCATTTGTACATCTTTTCATTACAGTTCTTTAATTAAAAGGTCATTCTAGACAATTTAGTGAGACCCTTTCTTAAAATAAAAAGGGCTGGGGATATGGCTCCATGGTAAAACATACCTGGGTCCAATTCTTTAATTAATTTGAATAGTTACAGTTTTTAGTCTATTTTATAGGCATTTTAATAGATTATTCCATTTTGTAGGTATGCTTTCAACGTGTATAGGGAAATGATATTTCTTATTCTCATTTTTCTTATAACTTTGTATGAAATTTAACCTTGGTTTTTAATTTGCTTACATTTGTGAACATAATCTTTTTGAAAGTTTAAGATGTACTAAGCTTGATGTACTTGCTGTTCTAGCATCACAGAGCTCTCACTTCCATTATTTTTGTATGGAGAGTAAAAAATAAGGTGGCTTGATTGGGGAGATAACTTGGCTGTGCTCATACCCCCACTTGATAATTTTTTTTTTCTCTGTTTTCTCTGCCAAGTTCGTTTCATATAATATATTATATAAAATTATATATATAGCTGTTGATGGACCTTTATTTTATTCACTTATTTATATACAATGCTGAGACTTGAACCCAGTGTCTCATATATGCTAGGCAAGCGCTCTACCACGGAGCCACTGAGCCACAACTCCAATCCCCAAGTTCATTTCTGATTCCACTTCCAATATGAGTCCTGCCCCAGAAGACAGCCAGGGCAGCTTAGTTTCAATTGTTTGGGTCCCTGTCTCTTTCAGGACTTCTTACTGTAGGTTGTCCCTTGTCACCCTATGATTGTAGGTAGGCAAGTTTTCTAACTTGCCTAAGTACCAGCTTGTTTATTTGACAAACTGCTTAAGAATATTCCCTATCTCATAGTGTTAGTGTAGGAATCAATGATATAATCTGTAGTGCTCTTAACTGAGTGTTTGCCATAGCACATATACCCTAAAAAAATATGAGCTCACCAATAACAAACATTATTCCCAGGCAGTAGTGTAATACATTTTGCCAAAGGAGTAACTATGTAAGATTAACTCTACATAGGCTTTATTATATTTTATATGATGAATTGTCACATTTAGTTCAGAGTTAAACTAAACCATCTTATGCACAAATATATCTATGCCTGATGATAATTAATATAAAAGGAATTTAAGTTTATTAATAGTTCTCCTTCTGACCAATAACAAACATATATATATATATAAAACCTTATCAAAGATTTACCTGCATATACCTGGATAGGTATATTTGTTTGGAAAACATACGTATTGTTTACCATTTTCTCTTTGCTTATTTTTAATTGTATTTCATATACATTCAGATATTATGAGTGAAATAGCATCAAGATGATTGTTTAGGACAGTTTTATTTTATTTTCATGCAGCTGCCCTGCTTCTTATTTTAACAATGTGGGAATGATGTATAATTATGCGTTGTTGGAAGATTTGGGTTTGTTTATACTTATTACCTTGAAGAACTATTGTAGGTTTTTCTTTCTGGAGCATAGCAACTATATCACCATAGCATCTGGGCAGAAACACTTTTTGAGATTTCTAGATGTTTCCTGCTTCTACTCCTGTGAAGCATAAAAGCTGGGTCTAGAAAGGGCAGGAGACTGCATCGTGGTAAAGGATTAGGAGTGGCTTCAAGGTTCAGTTCTTCATCCAAATTTCTTCCCACTGGCTGGTTGATGGCTACCTTGCTCCTTTTCTAAGAAGTTGGAGTTCTTAAACTATATGTGTTATGATTTCAGACTTTATTGGGTCAATTCACACATGGACATCCATCCACCATCATTGTGTTTTTCTTTGATGCCATAAGCACTGGGAAAATTAAAAAGAAAGAGTTGGAACATTATTTATTTTATTTGTTTATTTTTATGTCATGCTAAGGATCGAACCCAGTGCCTCACATGTGCTAGGCTAGCACTCTGCCACTGAGCAACATCCCCAGCCCTGGAACATTATTTACATAGTAATGAGATGGACAATAGTTTAGAAAAAAATCAAAATTCTGTCCCTTAATTGTATGTCTTTTGTTTTTGTTTTAAATATAGCTTCGGAAAGCAGTGATGGATCACATATCTGATTCTTTCTTGGAAACCAATGTCCCTTTGTTGGTTCTCATTGAAGCTGCAAAGAGTGGGAATGAAAAGGAAGTGAAGGAATATGCCCAGGTTTTCCGTGAACATGCCAACAAGCTGGTGGAGGTAAGTCTGGAGAGCTCGAGGACTGGAGTTGATTGACATGTGGTACATATGATATAAAGTTGATCTCTACATGTGCCTTGGGGATTTTCAAAAGACAGATCTTCTACAGTTTTCTTACAAAAATAACATACGAAAAACTTGGTTTCCTTTACCTTCTGATTACTATACCCCTTTCCAAGGACATAGGCTATTAGTAAACTCACCTCTCTGTAGCTCATAACTCTAATCTTGCTGTGAAACACATGTGACAATTTTCCTGAACAATAGGCAGAGGTGGAAACTGAAGGTGGAAGGACTCTCCCAAATGCTGAATGCCTGGTTTGATTTGAAGGAGAATTCAAACTGCTAAATGGAGGCAGAGCACGCTGAAACTATTTCTTACTCCTTATTTCCCTGTCCACGCCGAGAAGTGAAGCCGATTAGCTGGCCCCTACTGTGACTATGTGGGAAAAACAAAGAAACAAACAAACCCAAAACCCACTTCTCTCAAATAGATGTTTGGATTCTTGGCAAAAGATCTTGGGGCAGTACTAGTGCTAGTTCAGGGTCAGAAGTATATTTTATGTGTTCGGGAAATCTGTGGGAGTTGCTTCTTAAAAGCAAAATTGTACTGTGTCAAAGAGTCAAAAGAATATCATACAAGGGAAATGATAACTAGGCTGCTTGTATTTAGAAGCTGAATGCCAACAGCTTGGTACAGGTGGGATTAGTGATGTGAGGCTAAATAGAAAATAAACATGTTAAACAGCAAAATGTTTGTGTGACAAAAAAAAAAGAGCCAAGGAGGGGTGGGGAGCCTGGCAAATCTAGGGAATGATTTTAAGACCAGGTTAAAACTTTTACAGGTTCTGAGTACTTGGCATTATCCCTATCACTGTGGTGAATCTCACTTTGATTCATAATAAAATAAAATCACTCAAAATGATAATTTGCATTCAAGCTGAAATGAAAATAAATTTCTCTTGTTTTCTTTGGGTAGCAAAGTTCAGTTCTTAATAATGCATTTCACTAAATATAAAATCCTCTCTGTTTTTCTTGGAATGGCTTATTAGGGTGGGTGCTCTATTTAGTTGTACCCCAAACACCTGCTGAATTTGCTCTAGCTAATCCAGCACTGCTGGTGCTGGTGCAGCTGAAGACACCCAGCCAGCAGGAAGGCTTACATCAAACCCAGAGTCCTACACCAAGTCCCTTGGTCCCTAGGACCAGGTTGACTCGTCCCAGGTGACATCAGTGGGAATTTCTATGTGCCAATTTTACTCCACAGTAATGGAGCCCCCTGAATTTCCTACCATAACCCAATATCTCAGAACAACATGCCTAGAGCTTAAAATAGGTGCATACTTATAATATCAAGAGTCTTTCTGGCTCTTTCTCCATCCATAAGGCAAGCATTCCATCACATTTCACATTCTGCCAACATGATTCAGACATTCACTTGTCTACTGGAAAACCCAGAGCCTTTCCTAAGGATGACCTTGAAAGCTTTGACCACTTCCATGTTTTGAGAAGAAGAAGGTACAGAAAGAGCAGGTTGGGGTCAGGAGAGAGAGGAGGAAGAGGAAAAAAAAAAGTAATGCCAAATGACAAAGTAATAATTATTCACATGTAATAAAATAACATTAGCTGATCAGTATACCATATACCATCTCATCTATAGAATTACCTTTTTATAAAACAATTGCAGAAATTATAGAAGTGCTAATAAGTGGTGTGTTATAGGCACTGTGGAAAAGAAAACGGACAAAGAACTTTCAATTTTGTGATAAGCATCTACTTTCATTATCATCAGTGAATTTCTGAAACTCTCTGGGTAGCCTTAGTCACACATTGGAAATTTTAACTTGATGCTCTGTACAAAAATACAAGGCCAGGGTCAAAGAGCCACCTCTTGTTCTCATTCTCCCTTCTCCTGCAGTAGACCCTGGTCACATCCACTATTTTCCTTATTCCATTTCTAGGCCCTACTAGTAGTAAGTGAATCCAGCCACTGGGGGTGATCTTGGGTTCTCACCTTGTGGCCGAAGCAGAAATCTCAGGTCAGCCAGAGCCCACGTTCCAGAAAACTGTCCCTTTCAGTTCTTTGTTTCATTGCATCATTTTGGAATGTCCCCATGTCCAAAGAAAGGCAGGAACTAGTGTGTGAACTGGGTTCTGTTTGGCCCAAGAGTTTACGTTCTTCAAATAGGTTCTGCATTGCTGGTGCAATATATGCCAAAAACTTTGAAATTCTGGGACAAGTGTGTTACCCTTTTTCTACTTTTGAAAAGTGTTTTTGTGGACTTGGGTACCATTCTGAGGGTTTTTTTTTTGTTTTTTGTTTTTTTTCGATAGTTTCTGTATATATAATGTGAAAAATGTGCATGATATATTGATTTTATATCCATTGGCCTTGATTCATTTACTTATTAATTCTAAAAGCTTGCTTTTTAAATAGTCTTTTCATTTTTTCAAATTATGACAGCATCATTTCTCCTTTGTAAATCTTTATATCCTGCTTTTGCCTTTTTTTATTGTACTGGCTAAGGCCTCCAGTACAATACTGTGTAAATAGAAATTTTTATTTCCAGATCTTAGTGAGAAAATTTCACTATTTTACCATTAATTATACGATTTTCTCCAGATTTATTGCAGACAAGTTAGTTCTATTACTCATTGGCTAAGAGGGTTTTTTTGTTTGTTTGTTTTTGTTTTTAAGTTTTGAGTAAATGTAGAATTGTGTCAACATCTTTCTATATTTTTGAAGACAATAAGTTTTCTTAATTCTTCACTGTTATTAGTATCAAAGTTATGCTTTTCCTCAAAAAATAATTTAGAATTATATTCCTTCTTTCTATTTTTTGCAAGTGAATGTGTGAATCTGGAATTATGTTTTTTTTTTTTTTTTTTTTTTAATATCTGGAGGTCTTCACTCATAAAGCAAAGTGAGCCTGGAGATTTATTTGAAGAAAGATGTAAAAACATAAGACTATTTAAATTTTTTATTTCTTTGGGAGTCAACTTTATTTTATACCAGGAATTTTTCATTTTTATTTAATTTTCTAATGTAAGTCAGAAAATTGTCTATACTAACCTTATAATTTTTATTTAATGTGTAGAGATCTGTGTTCCTCTTTCTTTCTTTTACTCTTCACATTGCTAAATGGTGTCTTTTCTCTTTTCTTGATTAGTTTTTCAAATGGTTTATAAATTTATTCATATTATCTAAAAAATGAGCTTTCATTTTTGCAGATTTTATCTTCTATTTTATTTATTTCTGTTCTCATCTTTACATTTCTTTTTTCTGCTTTGTCCCAGTATAACTTGCTGTTCATTTTCTAAATTATTGAAATAGATGATCACATTGATTTTTATTTTGCCTTCTTTATTTTAGTAATAAATGCATTTAAATCTATAAATTTCATGCTTAAGTCTGGTTATTTTCTACTGACCTAATTTTTAGCTCACTCATCCATCTGTGTTCAATATAGTTGAAACTTATCTATTGAGTTCTGTTTTTTTTTCCCCAAGAATTTCTAGTTGGTATTTCTCCTCATCCTTCTGAAATAATTCCAGTTCTCTAGCAGAATTCATTATCAATTATCTCCTTTAAATATATTAATCACAATTATTTAAAATAATTAATTTTCCCTCATCTTCAGCATCCTGCTAACTCAGATAAACACCCTCAGTCTGAACCTGTACATATGATCTCTTCCTTAAAACAAGGACTTCATGGTCCCCTAAGTCCCTAACCACCCCACATGTGACATCCATTTCCTGCTTATTCAAAGCAAAATACAGAGAAAATGAAGCAGTAAATAATGGCCTTCTGGCTTTTCGTCCTTTTCTATGGCCACAGGACCCTGTCTCAGAGGGTTTCCCCACCTTCGCCAAAGAACTCCAATATTTGGATAAAAGTGTTTCTGTTTTGTGGTGGCCACAAGATAGGGCAAAGCCCATGTCCCCAGAGTTGCCCTGGATATTGGTGGTAAGAATGCATCACATCCACCAAGAGGGCATTAACACATTTATTACTTCTATCAAGGGACTTTTAGGGGCAGCAGACAGCTAGCATCCACTCTAGTGCTTGATGGTTTGATCAAAGAGAATGAGTGCCTTTGTTTTTTGTCATGTTAGGGTGTGAGACTGTGGTCTGGATTTCTACATGGGGACTAGGATATAAATAGTTTGAATTTCCCTAGTAGCACCCCCCTGCCCGATGTGGACTTTGCTATTTTCTTGTCCATTTGGGGGTCAAGAAGGAAAAAAGGGAAAGGTGGCACTTAAAAACTGTCAGCAAACATTCAAAGTGGAGTAAGACAGTTAGTTAATAATATCTGTCCTATTTCACTGATGACTGAAATGTGCCATGATGTATATGACTGAATTTGTGCTTGTTTAAGTAAACTATTGTGGGACTCTATGAGGCTTTCAAAATGGAGACAGACTTTATTACACTGTCTGAGTTTATTATTTGATTTCTCATGATTGTGTTATTTATTTTTTAAATTTTTAATTTGTTTTAATTAGTTATACATGACAGTAGAATGCATTTATGCACTTTGATATATCATACATAGATGGGATATAATTTCGCATTTTTCTGAGTGTACATGTTGTAGAATCATATTGGTCATGCAGTCACATATATACATAAAGTAATAATGTCTGTTTCATTCTCTTTCCTATCCCTATATCCCCTCCCTTCACTTCCCTCTACCTAATCTGAGATAACGCTATTCTTCTCTAGTGCCCCCCCACCTTATTTTGAATTAGTATCTGCATATTAGAGAAAACATTTGGCCTTTGGTTTTTCTGGATTTGCTTATTTCGCTTAGCATGATATTCTCCAATTCATCCATTTACTGGAAAATGCCATAATTTAATTTTTTAAAGCTGAGTAATAGTCTATTGAACATATATATATATATATATATATATATATATATATATATATATATATATATATATCACATTTTCTTTATCCATTCATTTACTGAAGTACACCTAGGTTGGTC